CCTCCGCTGCCCTCCCTCGCCCCATGTCACCTACTGCCCGGTATTCTGGTTACCTGAGTGTACTTAATATCTGCCTCCAAGGCTGGTTTCTCGAGCCCATTCACTGCTGGTGAGGCGGGGAACGCGGCGCGGTTCACACCCGCCCAGTCTTCCATCTTGGGGGAATAGGCAGCGCCTTCGCCCCCGGCCAGGGCCCCTGCAGGAACGCAAATGGAGTGGAAGCTTGTGCACTTGTGAAGACCTCCAGCCCAGACATTTGCAAACTAGAATCCATGGGTGCTGCCAGACAAACCCCTTCCACACCCGGAGGCTGCCACAAACTCCCAAGACCTTTCTTTGGAGATAGAGGGGTGGCAGGGCCCAGCATTTCGCTTTCATTCAGACGGAGCAGGGTGAGGGTGCCTGCCCTTCATTCTCCCCACCCTTGGCCCGCTTCCTACGAAAAGACGTAAGCACTAGCGAAGTTCAACCGAAGGCAGTTTCTCCACCGCTCAGACGTGACAACCAGAAAGATTCAAATTCAATGCAACTTCACGAAAATTGTGCAAGCCTCTGGATGTCTTAATTATCATCTAAAGAGTACATTTTGGCCTGGGACTGCCTCTAGGGACATTCTTGGTCTCCCCAATGAGGCAACAACTCTGAGACCCACAGGAGCATATCTCAGGCACAGAGCTGTTCCCAGTTCAGGCATATGCCCCCAGCCTAGGGAAGAAGGCTCCAGATGTGGTCACAGGCATGGTAGTCACCTCCCAACCACCTGCTCTCTGCTGCTCCATGGGAAGTTTTGGTCGTGCTATTTTGATACGGATCCACCCAAATGAGCCGTGTGCTAGGTCTGGGAAACCAGGGCCAAGCCTTCCTCTTTCCTCGACTTGTTTCTCCTAGACTGCTGAACGTCATTCTGAGTCTGCTAGCCTAAGGAAGGAAACACTAGCTGCTTGGGAAAGGGTACCAATGCTTCTAGAAAACACCCGCATGTATCGTCCTAGGCAGGGCACCAAAGTTGCCTGAAATTTCCAGCCCTTTCCATCCAACAGAAATTACCAACATTTGGCGGAATTTTAATGACAATCAAAGCACAAGTTCTGCTGAGTGTCTCTGAAGAGAATGGGGCGCTTTACCTCTATTCTAACGGCAGGACTTGCGAGGCCTCTGGACCTGACATGATCTGGGCCACGCTTAAAAGAAAAACTGACCACAGGGGCTCTTTTTATTTTACTCAAAAGAGCTTCTGGGCCTGCACAAGCTCCTGAAGGAACCTGAAAGCTAGAGAAAAGGGTAGTGCAGAATGGCCAGAGCGGTTTGTTTGGCTTAGATTTGGCGATAGGCATTTGCATTCTTTTTGCAAGAATGAAAAAGTGCAATTTCAGGCCTCCGATTTTGTGGTCTGCGTCTGCTCTTCTATTTGGGAAATATTTTCCATATTTGTCATAAAAAGTTCAAGATGTCCGAAGACTCCCACAGAAGGTTCTGGACCCCCAGCTTCCACGACCAGTCCTGAACTATTCTCTGAGCCACAGTCAGTCCTAGCAGAAGGGCATGCAACCCCCTTGCTCATCTTCCCGCCCCCAATTCTGCCCGTTTGTAGAGAATTACAGAAGACACCACGACTGACCTGTTTGCTCCATAAACGTCCGGATGCCCAGGATGTTGCTGACCGAATGTGCTGAGGGCCATGAACGCGGGATGCTGACGTGGCCCGCCGAGCCGGGGACCCCGGGATGGCTGCCCATCTTGGTTCCCGTGGGCGACACTGGGCTGGGGTAGGGGTACTGGTAGATGTGATTGTAGGGCAGCGCAGGCTGTGGCGGTGGCTGCTTACTTGCTTCGTAGGGCCCTGGCTGCGCCAGGCTGCCAATCTTGTTTCGCAGGATGCGACTAATGGAGCTCACAGAGGGCACGTTGTACTTGTCACAGACGCCATCAGCCAGGAGCCGGTCACGAATCTCCCAGGCAAAGATGCCAGGGTCTCCCTGCTTGTAGTCCCGGATGTGCTTCACTACGTTGGGGGTGGTGACTCGGGGTTTACTGCCCCCAATAGCCCCGGGCAGGATGGAGCCGGTCTCGTTATAGCGTGCCAGGATCTTGCTCACACAGCCATGCGAAACCCGCAGTTGCCTACTGATGTCACAGGGTCGGATACCCAGCTGTGCTAGCTCCACGATGCGCAGGCGGATGGCATTGGGCAGGGGACGGCCGTTGACGAACACGCCACCGAGCTGGTTCACTTCGCCGTACGTCTGCTCTGCGGACGCGTCGGATAGAAGTGAGCAGACAGAGGAGAAAACACCCGCAGGTTAGCCGTGGGTGTCCTCGAGGGCCGATGCACTGCACCCTAGCGCGACTCTAAGGTAACCTGTACGTCCACCCCCACCCTCGACAGCTCAGACCCTGAGGGAAGAGAGGGGTACATCCTGGCAAGAATCAGGACAAGAGGCAGGCAAGGTGCACTTCAGCCCTCCCTGCCTTCTCGCGACTTTGGTCGCGTCCTCACCTCCTTCCTGAACTTAAAGAGACTGTCCCCTCGAGGACCTGGAGACGTCAGACAACGCGACTCCTGAGGGTGCAGAGCCGTTTTGCCCGGGGAAGGGGGATGGGGGGGAGGAAAGGAGGCAGAGAGTCTCAACCCAGCTTCGCACCCGCCCGCGCCCTGCCTTAGGCTCGCCCCTTACCCATCGCGCGCCGGCCCGCCAGCTGCCTGGCGCCGGAGCGGCGGGGGCTGGGCCCGGCGCAGTCC